GAGTAGAAAGTAAAGCACGAAAAATCAGTAAAAACTAAAAAAACACCTTTTTTAACAAATTCTACAGTCTTCAGAGGAATGGAGGTGACAAGTTTTCCAAATAATTTATTATAAACTTTCGCTTATTCTGTTCGTTTTTTGATACGTCCCAAATTCGAAGCTGGAAACTGATTTGAAAAAGATTGTCAGTATTTTTAAGTTAAACTTGAGAAAATTGAGCGTTTTGAAGAAAGAGTAACTAAAACTAAAACTGGAAAACCCTGAAATAAAAAAAAAATTAATGTTATAAATAAAAAATGGCTCTTAAAATAAATCTAAAAGCAACAAAAAAAGAATATTTAATTTAATTAGAATATTTCTTAAATTTAATAGAAATTCAGGCAGATTGAAAATTTGTCTTATTCTTAAACCATCCAACCTTTCAGATCTTCGTCAGTTTTAATTATTTTAACGACGCATTCAATTTGATTTAAGTTATTAAAAATACTGCATACTCCTACCTCGGTTTGATAGCGAGAATTCTTTCTGTTCTAGTGCTTCGAATTTCAAAATATTTTTTAACCTTTTATCATTTTATTAAATAAATTAAATTAATTTTGGTACAATTGGACGCAGATACTGTATTAACAGTTAAAACCCGAATTAATTTATTTATAAATTTTCACACACAAGTATTTTGCAAAAATGTGCAATTTGATGAAAGTTACATGTAACGAACATAGTCAAAAGCTTGATCGAACAACCCTGCAGTCTGAAGTCGTTATCTAATATTAACAGAAACTATTCTAAACCAATTTCGGGGGGTGCTTAAAATTAACCGTTGTAAGAAGCTGTATTATTGTAAAACAATTGTGCTTGAAGGGCGTAAACTTTTACAAAGCCCAAAGCGTAATATTAGAAGAATGATCTTTTGATCATGCGGCTTTTTTCTTCATGAAAATGTTATGTCCACATTTTTGCACAATATGTTACAGTCTTGTGATTAAAACATTTGCAAATTACAGGTTGTGGAACCCTTCTGTATATTACACTTTAATTAATTTGGTGTAACTACTGAACTAAATTGGGGTTTTCATCCTTACATTTGTTTATTACTGAAATCTTAGGCACATGAAATTTTTAAGTTATTCATGAATGCAATGCTTGAAACGGACAACATCTAATCACACTTTATTGATTTTTTGACTATATATTAATTTAAAAAAATGTCTTTTAAAGTAATATTGTAACTTTATAAATTACATCTAATTCTTATCTAATTCCTGTAGCCATAAAAGGTTGTAAATTAAATGAAACTTTTGCTGTCGACTGTTTTGAAAGCCAGCGATGTTCTCATCAAATTTAATTTCGAATCACTATGCGATCTTGTCACTCGACTTTATCTCGTTTAATTGCCAATTTGGAACATTCAGAAATTAGTAACAGTAAAATAAAATATTTGGCAAAATGGTCAGTGTTCTTAGTGATAACTGATAAATAACTGACGGGCTTTTTTAAAACCTTTAGACAACAACTCAAAAAAGTTAAATCTAACTTAAGTAAATAAAAAACCGAACACATGTAATTATGAATTACTCTTAAAAAAAATTTTGGGGTTTTCTTATGTAATACATTTTTTATTTATGATTCTAATTTAAATACGTTTTGAAGTAACCCGACCTATATGTGCTGCTGAACTTTAAATAATTTTACTTTGTCTATTATATAAAGGATAACTTGGCCCATTCCCTAAAGGTATTTGTTTTCGAATATAAAGGATTAATTATTATTATTTTGAAAGTTGGAGTATAATTTCAGATTAATTCATAGAGAAATAACTGCATATTAGGTTTTGACCCACCTACAAACTGGCTATTAATAAAGTTGACACTGAAAAGCAATACGGGTAAGCCTGGATAAATGACCTCACCTGGTTGTTATAATGCTAAACACCTATGATTATGAATTTTAATTTGGCTTCCAATTAAACATACCAGTAGCCGAAGAAGTTGGAAATGGTAGAACAATCCGCGTTAATGTTCCTCAAGTTGAGTCCATCAACAATAGAAACAATTCCCTGCTCAGTGCCCACACTATTTATCCTTGTGGGGCTGTTGAGGGTAATTCCATTCAACCCCGCTTCCATATCGCTGTTGCTGTTGGCAGGACTAAATGAGTCCGGACTGAAGACACCAGTATCATCAGACTCTTCACTAGTAGTTTCACTCAAATCTTCATCGTCATCGATTTCATCCGGATTGTCCAAACTTGAGCTACCGCCGCCCATTTTATTAAACATTTTTTTGACAAAACTCATGTTTAATTATTGTTTTTAAATTTCAATTGACGATTAATTCAAAGACAATGCAATATTTTAAACGCGATTCAAAACGACGCACAGCGTCACTACGATACAACTTTGGCGTTTATTTTGTACGACGCTATTTGCAGAGTAAAGGCACGCGGTATTTAGACGTGAGGCTCGTTCAAATCGTTGTTCATTTTATTTTTGGCTCTAATCTAGATATCTTTTCTCCTGTGGCCATCTCTTTCTACACTGGTCAAATAGCAAGCATACGAGCGAGGTGTTAACATTTAAAACGATGTTTTTTACAACACCTTGAGCGTGCCTTGATATTAAATCTCTTGGCATCAACGTCTATTTCAGAACAAAGATCTTGCTTAGTTGTCTTACCTGCTTACAGATAATGAGGATTTATTTGAGCTTCTTTATCTAAAGTATCGGGTATACTGGGTGTTCAGAAATTAATCTTCACTGCGTGAATTAAGTGAATATTTTACAATCTAAAATGTTACTTTTCTTCTGGAAATGCTTAGTTTTCCATATAGCTATTGCGAAAGTTATTCATCACCACTCGAATGAATTAATCACAAACTCGTCTTTGCTCAGGTGCCCAACGCAAGGGGTTTTCAAGTATATTGCAATATTTAAGATCAATTTTCTATTTTTACTTTGAGGTATATTTGAGTCTCGTCATTTATGGTCTGAATATCACATGATCCAAATGGCCACCTCGATTTCGCCTTCATGAGCTTTCAATATTTAATTTTAACGCGTCAATAGTTCTAATAGAAAAACGACTTCCAGATTCCCACACAAACAAATCTAAGAGAATACAATCAGAACTTCAGTCTTCTTCACCGAGCTTTTCTTCCAATAATGTGACAATGGTATTAGCAAAGTGTGGTGAAATCTCCATCTTGATGAAACCACAAGTTTTCCAAGTGAAATTCTTCCCACAGTGGCCGCAAAACCGACCATTGACCGTAACCAAAACACCAGGTTCACTATGAAAAAAAAATAGATGAGTAACGCCACCACTCCATAAACCACACCAAGCAACAACTTTTTCCGGATACCAAGAATTCTCATGAATTTCTGGAAGATGATTTTTAGTTGGAAAATCAAAATTTTTGTTATTAAGAAACCCATTTAAGCAAAAATGTGCTTCGTCCTGTAAATGTTCTAAATTCTGCATACATTTCAAAATGCTCTAAAGTCCAATCTTTGTCAGTCTACACAATCTTGTAAGAATTTAAAAGTGAGACTTTCCGCAGAATACGCCAAAGTATAATTCTTTTGAACGTTGTGGAATCCACAAATTTGCAACTTCAGCAGCACTTCTTCTAGAGATCAATATTTTTTTGACTGGTTGCAGTAGGACGTCGCATTGGTGGTATTGTATCGTGTAAAGTGAAATTACGCTCGATTTTTTTAACGATTCGACGAATAGCAAGCACAGTAGGAC